TTTTTTTTTGAGATGAGTTAATGAAATTGATGAATGAAGATAAAAGTGAATGAAGAGAGAAGAGACATGAGAGAAGAGAGAAGAGAGAGATGATTTTAAAAAAATGATAATAAGGGTATTTTGTCTTTTCAGGTGCCAAAATGGCTAAAAAGAGGCTTTTTAAAAAAGGTGGCCAAAATTTGTATTTTTAATATTTTACAAATGTAAATGGCTAAAAAAAAATTCACTGATTAGAAAAACCAAGCATGTTCAATCTTAGAAAATAACTCCCTTTGTTAATTAACCAGTAAAATGGTAACCTTACTTTCAATTTTATTTTAATTTTAAAAGTGTTTATTTCGTACACTACAAAATAAATGTTATATTCCAACGGAAATTCCTATGGTAATATATTCCAATGGAAATTCCAACGGATATTCCAATGGAATAGCTTCCGTTGGAATAGTTCCAACAGAAATTCCAACGGAAATATTCCGTTGGAATGTGTTTTCCATTGGAATTTTAGATGGAATTTGATGATTCCAACGGCTATATTTCCAACGGCTTTTTACCGTAGGAATTTCCGTTGGAATATGCAAATTCCGTTGGAATTTTTTTTCCACCCCCGTTGGAATCGTCAAAATCCAACGGAAATTCCAATGGAAAACTCATTCCAACGGAATATTTTCGTTGGAATTTCCGTTGGAATCCATTAAAAAATTCCAACGGAAATAATAGTATTGAAATATCCGTTGGAATTGTCGTTGGAATAATTCTTTTGAAATAAATTTCCGTTGGAATTTCATCATTTTCTTGTAGTGGTACTATCACTTCACAAAGGTTAAAAACATTATTTTCTTCCTTAAGGAATTTAGATAACGCTTCGAGCATCTGCAATGTTGCCCGCCTTTTTCGTCTTTTTACAAAAAAATGTCCAACATGATTATTGTAATATTTACTTGTGTGTCCTTAGTAAGAAGCCCAAACACATAAACGGAGTCAGGTGTCCAAATCCAAATAAGCTGGGGAACAGGTACGTGTGACTATTCTAATAATTATATGGTATAGTTTCCATGCTTTACAATCAAATGATATTAGAGAATGGTGCTATTCTATACTGCATTACTATATTTTAAAAAAAAAAAAATCAAAAAATATAAAGTAAATGTATGCATATAGTTATTTTTCATTACCGGTTAATATTGCCTTTAATTTAAGTCAATCGCTCTGTGAGTTGGGTTTTATCTGGTCAGCATTACCTTTTTTTATTTTTTTATTTTTGGTACAGAAACCTTCCAGTTTCTGGATCCACAAGGGAACCGACTAATCCGGAATCGAGCCGGGTAGGACCACAAAGGCGGCAAAGCTCTGCCTCAAGAGTTTTAATATTGCTGTATTCTCAGGGCTCGAAAACGAGACCACTAATTAAGCTGGAAGAGATCCAAGTCATCTCATCCAAGCGCTCTTGGTTACTTTTCTTTTAACAATATGCATAAAGCATATATTCTCAAACTTTGGGCTTCGGTTACATTATAATGTGTCACCTAACACGAAAAATAAGGAATAATGACATTGAAAGTTTGAAACATTGATTTTAGATAACTTTTTTTTTCTAATGAATTGAATGAATAAATTGGTTAGATAGTAGTCATGCCAAAAAATCTTGAATGATGACTATTAATTCATCATAAAACAGTTCTTTCCATAATTTTTTGACTCAGACCGGCTCGGCGGGTCGAGCAGGGACCTGGTCGACCGGAGTTGGAATTAGTTCGAGTGGGCTATTTGGATTGGACAACAAAAGATCCGGTCAAAACTCGACCAACCCGGTCTTGACCCGGACGACCCGCCGCATTGACAAAGTCGGGTCAACCCAATTGACCCGGCCTATATATATATATATATATATATATATATATATATATATATATTATTTTGTTTTTAAAAATAAAATTACGTATGTAAGTTTATATGGTAAATATTTATCATGATATATATTATTAATTCTTTAATGTAAAAAATTTATACACAAAATATTTAATTTTGTTATTTTTATGTATATTTATATGACAAAAATACTCTATATATAATTTAAAAAATTTAAAAATAATTATTCGGTTCAACAATTGACCCGGTGACCTGACGGTTGAACCGGCGATCCAGAGACCTATCCGGGTCGATTACCAGGCCGAGTTTAAAAACAATGGTTCTTACAGTTTCTATTAGCATATAATAATGCATGTATTTATTTTTTTTTTTAAAAAAAAAATGATATGCAAATAGCACTAAGTAAATGTAAAAAAAACAAGATTTTTTCACATATAAAAAAAGGAATGATTCTACGATCCCAATACCAAATCATCCGTCGGGATTTGTAACTGTTAGATCAACTATCTACGATGATTACATGATAATTCAACGGTTATAAATCCCGATGAAATAGTTCCGTAACGGGACTGGAGCATTTCCGTGAAAAAGATCCTCAGTTCCTAATTTTTATCACCTTAATTAGTTACTTTTGATGATTGAACCTCTTCATTTTTTTCCCTCCAAGCCCTAATTTTCGATTTTTTTTTCCTTTCAAAAATCAGAATTAATTATTTTTTTAGTAAGTCAATTGACCTTTAATATTGGCATATTTATCAGTATAGTACATGACTTTGAATGCCTCTAGATGTGAAAAATAAGTCAATCCTAACCATCACATGTCTTTTGGTAATTTCCACGTGTAAAAAAATGAACTTTTTTTTTTTTTTCCCAAAACGATAGGTTTTATAGCTCAAGAATTTGTACAAAGGGGGGGCTAAGTAGCCCAATAAACATCCACAGGAATGATAGAGGCACTGCAAGGCCTAGAATCAAAACTATTAAGCAGATAAGTCCATAATCCCCAGCTAATACAAGGCTTAGAACCTAGGGTTATGTTCCTATCTCGCTCAAAACACAAAAGACTTAGATCACTGGCCGAGCCCTAATCTAAGACAACTACTACAAACCCAAACAAAAAAACAAAGCAGCAAAACCCAAGAGAAAATCGTATGCTAAGAAACAAAGCCAACAAAAACTTCAAAGACAAGCCAAAAAGGAAGCAGCAGCCAGCAGACACTATAACTATTACTTCACCATGCTAAATTCCAACCACTCCTCCATTGCAATACTGATCACTGATCTCTCTGGTCTCCATAGGCTTTGGAACACCCACTGATTCCTAGCTTTCCACATCCACCAGAGTAGATATGTGGTTAGCTGTATCCTGTCCTCATTAATAGCAGAGTAGGGGATGGTACACATCGATGACCACCAGTGACTGAAATTATCAGAGTGTTGCTTCATTCCTTCCCAGTGTTTTTAAAAGCGCATTTTAGCGCGCTACATAGCGCGAAATAGCGCATATTTGCATAAAAACGCACCGTAGCGTCTGTAATTTTGCGTAGTTCCAACAAAGCGCACGCATTTGATGACGTGGCAGGCATTTTGCGCGACAGCGGACGCGATTTACGCTATAGCCTCAATCACGCACGCTATTTGGGACCTTACCAATTCTATATACAGAAAATTAAAAAAAAAAAAATCAAAATCGAAGGCAAGGAAATCACAGGCAGAATTCATTCACGAAACCCCACTACAGCCTCCACCTCCACGGATCCACCAAGCCCGGCGACAGTATGAACTCCGCCGCCTCCGCGGCTCCACCTCAGCCTCCTCACAAGCTTCTTCTCACATCGTCTGGTTCCTTGACTCGCTCTCGCTCTCGCCTCTCGCCTGGATCTCGGCAGCCCCGAAGTCCCCTCTCCTCCGCTCTTTGTACCCTACATCCCCTGCTCCTCTGACTTTCGACTCCAAAGGTATCATTTTATTTTTCGTTTGAGATCATGAATAGATTCACAGAACTCCAATTGAAATTGGGTAGTGAATGATTTAGATTTTATTTTTTAATTGGAATGGTTATTTATTAAATTAATAGAGTGAGATATAAGGATTGATTACGCTTGATGTTTTGAGAATTGCATTTTTTATGTGTATTTGCCTATCTGCTGATTTGTTGATTTGGTCTGATGCCTTCTTTCTTTTTCTTTTTCTTTTTTCTTTTTTTCTTATGATTCTAATTCGTAGAAGTATAGATATATGCAACTCTGTTTAATTTGATGATTCTATTTTGTGTGTAGTTTCTCAGAATATGCAGCTCTGTTTTATTTATCTGTAAACTCACTACTCAATATGGAACATATAATTATAAGACATAAATGAATTGTGTTCTGAATTCTTTTTAGTTTTTATTTGGTAATGGAACATCAGTGAAATATATGAAGAAATATGCAACTTTTGTTTTTTATTAGGATGATTCAAATAATGTTTCTAAACTAAATTGTTAGTTTGTTTAACTAACATTAAGGTTAAGAAGATGGATCCAAACATAACTGAAGCGATGAAGAGATTATTGTTTTGTTGTGCTTAGTGTTCTTATTCCAGTCAAATATGCAATTATTGTTGTGGTTTGTGAACAAACATGATTTTGGGATAATAACGATCAAAATCATTCTCCAATTATAAAGAAGAAAAGAGTCGGTGAAAGCTCAAGTAAGTATGCCCTCTTTTTTTTTTTTTGGTAAATAAAAAGATGTTAGTTCATTCTACTTGTATGTAACAGGTGGAAACGAGGATCCTATTGACATTCATGACGATGAGGAGATGCAAGAATTCAATGAAATTGGATCAATGATCTTTGATAGAGGAAATCTCCCAGACTTTGATAGTATTGACGATGGTAGTCAAATTCAATTGGATGAGAGCAATTATTTTTAGATTTTGAGTCTTTACTTTGAAGATTATGATTTTGGGTTGTTTGTATGGCTAATATTTGAATGTTATTCTTTAGATTTAATGTCCAAGTTTATGGTTTAAGACTATTTTGCTTATTTATTTACTTGTATGGTTATATATATTATTATTTTGGCATTAAAAGTGAAATGCTCGAATAGCTTACGCAACGCGCTATGCTATTTACGCTACGCAATATAAGGACCAAAACGCGACGCGATGCGCGACGCGCGTTTTAAAACACTGTTCCTTCCCAGCTGATTGGTGCAAGACTCCATATTTTGGCAGCTCTAGGACAGGTAAAAAAGAGGTGGGTGATTGTTTTAGCTTCTTCCCCACAGACCTTGCATCTTTCCTCTATATGAATGCCCCTCTTTGCCAGATTGACACTTACTGGCAAAATATTGTTTAGGCACTTCCAGATGAAGTGCTTAATTTTTCCTTTAATTTTCAAGCCCCATAGCCTTTTCCTCATACCCCTGATCTCATTATGCCCCTTACTTGGTTCAGCAATATCCAAGTTCTTCCATTTTTCCTTCACCAGATAGTCATAAGAAGCAGCCACTGAGTGTGTACCCTTTTTACCACAGTGCCAGATCAGTTTGTCATGCTCCCCTGGGTTTAAACTTTTCACTTTCAGGATGGCAGCTTGTTCTTCTTCTGAGAAGAGATCTTGCAGAACATGTCTTTTCCAATTTCTCCCTGTCACATCAATCAATTCACTTACCCAGCTGATGTTGGAGTTAGCAGGAGGTCTGCTCTTAGGTTTAAAGCCAGGTAGGCCAGGAATCCATGGATGGTCATAGATCTTGATTCTGCTTCTATTTTTAACTTCATATCTCAGTCCCAGCTGGAAGGTGTCTCTCACTTTGAGCCAGCTGTGCCACATCCATGATCCTGTTTCTTTGTGGCTAACTGTGAAGAAGTTGTCACTGGGGAAGTATTTGGCCTTCAAACATTTGCTGACAAGGAGGTTAGGCTGAGTGAGGATCCTCCATAATTGCTTGGTAATCAGAGCTTTGTTCATTAATTGGATATCGTGGATACCAATTCCTCCATTTTCTTTAGGCAGGGTCAAAAGATTCCAGGCTTTCCAATGTATTTTCTTGCCTTCAGAGTGACCTGAGTTCCACCAAAAAGCAGCAAATTTTCTAGCAATATTTGTACAGACAGCTTTAGGGATGAGAAAGCAGGACATAGAGTACACTGGCAAAGCATTAAGAACTGCCTTAAGGAGAACTTCTCTACCAGCAGCTGAGAGAAATCTGTTCTTTCAATTTTTAATTCTCTTATCTACAGCATCTGTTATGAAAGAGAATGTGTCAATTTTACTACCCCCAATGCCAAGATGCAACCCTAAATATCTAGAGGAATTTTGGGGAGAGATTCCCAGCAGGCAGTTACAAATAGAGGCTTTCAGGGGGGTAGAGGCATTTTTGTTGAAGAAGATAGAGGATTTAGAAAGGTTCACTTTTTGCCCAGTTATTTTTTTATAATCAGCCAAAATATCAAGGATAGAGTTGGCTTGAGAAAGATCAGCTTTGGCAAGTAACAAGGTGTCATCAGCAAAGAATAAGTGAGATATCTTGGGCCCATTCTTGGAAAGTTGAATACCAGAGAGACTACCTTTGAGGTTTTCCCTTTTGATCAGGTGAGAAAAGATTTCAGAAACCAGAATGAAGACATAAGGGGACAGAGGGTCCCCTTGTCTTATACCCCTCGAGGGAGTGACATACCCACAAAATTCCCCATTAACATTGAAGGAAAAAGAGGCAGATGAAATACAAGAAACAACCCAGTTAACAAACATAGGGCAAAAGCCCAATTTCAACATGATAAGGCTAACACTACTCCACTCAACTCTATCAAAAGCTTTTTCCATGTCCAATTTCAGAGCCATATAAGAATTAGGACCATTTCTGTGTCTATTTAGTAAGTGAATAATCTCATGGCCAAGAATCACATTGTCCAGAATTTGCCTGTTAGCCGCAAAAGCTGCTTGGTTGACACTAATGCAAAGAGGGAGACAAGGTTTGAGCCTTTGAGTAATTAGTTTGGAAATGATTTTATAGACCACATTACACAAATTGATAGGTCTGTAGTGGGAGATTTGCTCAGGGTTAAGAATTTTAGGGATTAAGGTGATGAGAGTATGATTTATGCTTTTAAGAACTTTACCAGAATCAAAGAAACTTTTAACCACAATACAAAGCTTAGAGCCAATAAGATACCAGAATTTTTGGAAAAACAGAGAAGTCATACCATCTATGCCTGGGGATTTGCTAGGATTGATGCTGAAAAGGGCAGCTCTAATTTCATTATCCTCCACAGGTGCAGTGAGCTCTGAGTTCATATCTTGAGTGATGACTGGATCCATGTCCCTCAGAAGTCTGTCACCATCCTGAGAGCCCTCTGAACTGAATAATTTATCATAAAATTGCTCAATACAACCCTCCAACTGATCTTTGCTCTCATAAATTTCTCCACTTTCTCCAGTGAGTTTAAAAATTTTGTTCCTCTTCCTTCTCTGCATAGTCTTAGCATGAAAGTATTTCGAATTTTTATCCCCATGCTTAAGCCAGGAGATTCTGGCTTTTTGCTCCCAATGTTGTTCCTCTTGCTTATAAGCATCATCCAGTTCTTTTTTTACCTTATCCCATTTCACCCAATCAATGAGTTGGCCATCTTTCCTCATCTCAAAAAGTTCATGATTCAGTCTGGAGATTTTCCTAGCATCTTCAGTTCGAAAAGTACTGCTCCATTTCAATATTTCCACTCTCGTTTCCTTGATTTTCTGTTGGAATTGGTACATTGGAGTACCTTCTTGAAACTTAGCCCATCCTTTCTCAACCGTCTCAGTTAACCCAGGCCGTTGCAGCCATCTTCTATCGAAGATAAATCTTCTTTTCTTGTGCAAGAATTTTTTAGAGCAGTCAAGCATCAACATGCTATGGTCCGAGGCACTTTTGAAGATGTTGTGAACTGCTGCATTAGGGTAGGCCGCAGACCACGCGAGAGAACCAAATAGTCTGTCCAGTTTTTCTTCAACAAAGCCTTCTCCCACTCTATTGTTGCCCCAGGTGAAGGGGTGTCCCACCATGCTTATTTCTAGCATCTCCATTCTGCTTATGAAATCTCTAAAATTAGAATAGGAGCTGCAGGGTCTTGTTCTTCCACCTTTCTTCTCTTCAGGAAAAAGAAGATCATTCATGTCTCCTCCTAAGAACCAGTGGCTGCCCCACTTCTGCTTAGCTCCCTCAAGATAGGCCCATTGACTCAGTCTGCTATGCACATCAGTACTAGCATATATGAAGATACCCCAGCAAATGCAAGCCTGCTTCTCATCCCAAAACTCCAGCTCCATACAGAATTGGTGCTTAATGATATTGAACACCTGAATATCACTGTCCCAACAAACAAAAAGACCCCCACTCTTCCCCAATGGCTCTACTGAGGACCAACAGTTACCAATAGCTAGATTATTACAGACAGTCTGAAGAAATTTGTTGTTTTTTTTTGTTTCTGAAAGAAAGAGAAAATTTGGGTGATGGAGCCTCCAAGTCTCCTTGATTTGGGAAACCGTAGAGGGGCCACCCGCACCTCTACAGTTCCACACCGCAACCTTCATTGTTCACTCTGTGGCCCTAGAAGGCTGGCCACATTCACCTGTGATTGGACTGATTTCTGTTTCTTGTTCTGGGTATTTGGTTTCTGATCTTGCTGATTAACTTGGTAATCATCTCTCGAGATATCCAGGATTGTTCTTTTCCCTCTAACTGATTTCGGTTTGGTTATAGCAGGTGTAGCCGGGATTTGTTTCCTTCTCCATCCACTGGGTTTTTTGAGGGGAAGATTGGCTAATTGATTAGAGATAAGGGGAGGGGAATGTTGAATAGGTTCAGCAACCAGGGGAGCAGATTGTTGGATAACAACATCAAACAGAGGTGCTTCAATATCCATTGGCTGGTTTGGTGGTTGGGGCTCAGAAGAAGGGAGGGCATTGGTTAATGCCAGAGGATTATTAGGCAGTGAGGGGGGAGGTGGGTCTAAATTGATTTCAAGTTGCAAATCTGGCTGGATGATGGGTTGGTTACTATTGGAACGGGTATTCTCATTCTCTGAAACATTAGGCGATTTGGCAAAAGTGTTGCTTCCTGAAAGGGGATCCCCATTATTGCTGAACTGGCTCAGATGGTTAGAGAAGAAGTGTTCAGGGGCTTTGAGCCAATCCCCATATTTCCCTGCTTGGAGCATGTTCTGAGCTATGTCCTCCGATCTAGTGTTGCAATTCTTGTCTATGTGCCCCAGCAACCCACAATAATAACAGAGGCTCACTAACTTCTCATACTTGAACTGGACAATGATTTCCTTGCAGCCATGTTGGATAGTAGCACATCTGAGGACCGGTTGGTTGATGTCCATTGATATCAAAATCCTTATGCATTTCCCTGCTAAGGTCCCCCCCTGAGGCACTTGGACGTCCTTGATTTTTCTGAATGCTTTACCAATCTTCATACCAACTTCCGGTGACATCCAATTCAGAGGGATATTCCATGCTTGCACCCATATATCAAGCTCTTGGAACTCGGGGTGATCTGGAGAAAAGTCTTCTCTCCAATCTCTTAGAATTAAAAATTGGCCTTCAAATGTCCAGCAAACACCCTTACTCACTTTATCTTTGTCTTCCTTATTGGCAAAGAGGAATTGAAAAAAGTTTTTGCTAATTTCCCGGACTGAGACAGGGGCTCTGATTAGCCACATTTGGTTGACCGCTCGTCTAAGCCCTATAATTCCGGCTGTTTTTTGACCAATAATTTTCCCAATCAGGATTTTTTCGCAGTCGTCCGCACTTTGGTGGATATCCCCATCTGCGATATTAATGATATTTGCTTCATTCTCTGATAATTGGAAGGCTCCAAGCTTTTGAGAAATGTCTTCCGCCATGAACTCAGAGCTCAGCGCCCTCTAGAGGAATCCGAAATCTGAGAGAGAAGAGAGAGCACAAAGAGAAGAGAAAGACAGACAAAAAAAGGAAAAAGGTTAACAACAAACCCTAGCATAAATGGCTCTTAAAATTGGACATCAAATGCGATAATTAATGCAGATGCCCTAAATGCATATAGTAATTTCTGAATGTATTTAAAACCCCCAAATTAATGAGGATGAGGAAGCATAAAGCTGATGAACTCTGCACTTGAGAGGATTTGGCTCTCATGGAGAGAGGATGTAAAAAAAAAAAAAAAATGAAGCTCAAGATGTAGCTCAACGGTATTACGTAAAAAAATGAACTAACTCGGTCGAAAATGAGATGAATTTAAAATTAAAAACAGAAGATTAAAACAAATTTATTTATTTCCCAATTGACTAACTAAGCTGATCAGTTATTTTCTCAATTATACACTTTTTCGAGGTATCCAGGACAGTTGAAACTTTAAATTGACTTAAAATTTGGACTCGGCGGTGGAGATGTTAAACGGGCTAGCCCTAACAGTTTTGGGCTAGCTCTAGTGGGCTTCGAGATAAATAGTCTGGGCCTAAAAATCCCGAATTTAACGGGTTCTATGTAAAAATACTTAACCCTAACCCTAGTGGTCTCGGACTATAATAATAATAATAATAATAATAATAATAATAATAATAATAATAATAATAATAATAATAATAATAATTACAAAAACTAGGTAACGATTGTTTTCAACAGCTATTTAGTATTTACTGCTCTATATAAATATATGAACATACTACAAACTCTTAAATGTCTTATTTTTATTCAGAAGAAAAAAATGTTCGAACTGTTACATATAATTATCATTTTACTACTTATTTTGTATGCTTTGAAAATTTCCACGATATTATATACTGGTGAATTTGTATTATTTCGCTATGTTC